ACATTATAAAATCTAGATTTCTAATCTAGATTTCAAATGACTAAAGAATGACTTTATATTGACTTTTTTTTATAGTGTCGATTTTTTTGATTTTTAAAAAAATGTGAATGTTTCTCGATTGTATATATATATATATATATGGCAAGTATTTATTTTTAATTCCCTTATTTCAAATGCCATTCGCATATACAAAATTAAGTTTTAGTAAAAATTGTAACTTCATATTTGTTAATATTTTATATATGCAAACTTTATATTTATAAACAAAATATATCTTAACTAATACATATTCCATCTTTTTGACATCTATTAAAAAGATTTATACCATTGGTATACTTTTATTAGCAATTAATATTTATAGGTCATCGGAGCATCGGTTCTCGGACAATCACAAGGTTAAGCACGTTTCAGAAGGTTCATGGCTTGGATGGGTGACCGTTTTAGGAATTTCCGTAAATAAGTATATCGAATTGGCGATCATTTCTCATTCAGGGAATGATCAAGAATGCATCAAAAATTTATGCAATTTGACATCATTTTGACAAACTAAAATTTGATCTTATTTTTATGTCATTTTGATCTTTCTGTTCTACTTGGGCAGGATTTTGATTTATGATCAATGTCAAATCGATTTCGCAGTTTGAATCGACAGGAGGTCGACATGGGAGTCAAAAAGACATCGATGTCGATGTCAATTTCGATCTCATTTCGAACCCACTTTTCGACGTCGAATCGACGTCGGGTCGACAAATTGTTTCTCACTGGGTATACATGACCTTTGATTCTGCTAAAAGCACATTAGTAGGCGTACTATTTCTAAGTCCTAGCGCCGTTCTGATACCCGCAAATTGCCCTCTTTCTAATTTCAGTCTTCTATTCTCATTATTTGGGTAATATATAAAACTCCCGTAGTCTACTACCGATCTTACTAAACTTTTATAGAGCATTAAGGCCGTATTGACCTCCATTCCCTTGGATTTTTTATTTAGATATTTCATTAAAGAATTAGCCCTATCCATTTTTCCTCTCGTTACCTGAACCTGCTTATCAAAGTTGAGCTTATTGTCCATCCAGATCCCTAAGAACTTTGCTTCACGGGAATTCTGTACCGATATACCCCCTATCCTGATACACATATTTTTATCGTATAAACCAAATTTATTGTATTCAACTAGTACAGTTTTTTTTGGTTCGAGTTCTAACCCTATGTTGCGTAGCCTATTCGCTATAGTGTTCACCGCTTTCGCTAACTTGGATTTATTTTCGTTTCTGTTCGCTCCGGCTATATATATTGCAATATCGTCGGCGAATTGCACAACCTTTACCTCCTTATCTATATTTAACGTGATTGCACTTGTATACAGTGCATATAATATTGGACTCAAGACCGCTCCTTGTGGGAGACCCTTAGAAACTACTCGCTCGCATTTCTCATCATTCTTAATAATAAACTCTACATTCCTATTATACATCCATTTACTCAAAAAGAATACTATATTTGCTGGGCAGTTAAGGTCGATCAACTTTTTTATTAGGCTTTTATATTGCACATTATCATAGGCCGACGTAACGTCTAAATACGCCACCAGCGTGTACCTATCCTTACACCTCGCCGACTTAATGTCCGCGTATAATCTGGTAAGATTTTCCGCACATGATCTACCCCTTCGAAATCCATTCTGTTCTTTACATATTTTATCTTCCTTTTCTGCCCACCAAACAATCCTTTCATTTACCATTCTCTCAAATACTTTTCCTACACATGATGATAATGATATCGGACGCACTTTTTCCTTTCCTGGCTTGTCTATAAAAAGTACCTGGTACTGCTTCCAATCTGTCGGGAACCAGTCCGTTCCCCATACCTCGTTGTATAATTCCAATAGGATTTCCTTTAATTCACCTCTCAGACACTGCACTATCCTATACTCGATACCGTCCCTTCCTGGTGCCGAGTTTCTTCTCCTCAGCGCTCTATCAAGTTCTTCCATTGTAAAATCTTCCTCTATCTTTTGCTCTCTGTGTCGGTGTCCCCATATTCTCGCTGGTTGTTCCATTGCCGTTGGTGGGGCTAATTTGTCAATTTCTCTTCTTATTTCTTCTTCTCTGCTCTTTGATGCCCATCCATTCCAATTAATGTTTTTCCTAGCGTTCTTGAACACTTTCATT